GCCTTTTTTTTAATTAAAAACTTAAATTTGCAGCAATGGAAAGACTATGTCGTATTTATGCTATTAAAATAATATCCGAAGATCTTAGATAGATGGGCTTTAAGTTTTTTCGAAATCGTAGCTTCGCCTTCTCATTCCACTGGTGCTGTGATGACTCTTGTTACTCGGACTAATCGCCCTGGCATACACATTCAATTTCGAGGACTCGGTCCGTCCGGTTGTCCCGGTCTAGCGTCGTCAACTAATCCGACATGAACAAAAAGTAATGTTATGGAACTTGGGCATGCATTAGTAATTGTGTTCTGGATGATTCATGTCGAAACGCACTTCGTTGCCAAACCAAACCATGTCGAGTACGTCACACCTGGTCGCCCGCAATAAAGTTGAAATGTTGTGTGTTCAATCCAAGTTTGGCGAGGTGTCGGGCATTAACGGGATCGTTGCGCTCGGCGAAAGTTCGAACTAGTGGAATTGACTAGTCCAATCGGACTCCTTTTTTCTCAGCTTAATTTATTTGTTAAGGCCGGTCGATGCATTTGGCTATTAAAGATTTATCCCGGCACTGACATCGAGGTATTTTGATTCCTCAAAATGATATCGGTTGGCTTCAGGGGGGCAAGCGCCTGAAAATGTTTTTTATACGCCTCCTTTATTCGTTAATCCTCGGCGTCTCCAGGTCCAGGCTCCACGGTTTTACCGTTCGTATGGTTCAAAGTCCAGCTTTGTACTATTGCTTTCTCGAAATGGGCATGCAGAACTTCTCAGTCTTCCTGCCATTTACCTCTAAGTCGTTCCGTCTTGCTCTCCGGTATATCTCGGTATCTCTCTATCTCCACCTCCTCTTTTAACAAATTATCTCTCCTCCCCCAAACTGACTTCCTCACTGTACTGCCGTTACTACGCTTTGATTCATTGCGGAACTAGCAACATGCAGACCACGCATTCGCAGTTCATCTCTGCATTCGTGCGGAGTTTTTAATTCCTTCCATTCCTCGTTCTTACTATGGGTCTGTTATTTTTGCTTATCCTTGATAAGCCTTCGCTTCGAATCCTGGCGAAACTTTGCACAACTTTCTCGTCGCTCTTGATTTTAGAGTGCCATTCCTTAATCCACTTAATTTTTGTTTTCCGTGTCCTCTTTTCATTTCACCACCGTTCCCGAGCGTGGGTAGTGCACTAACCGGAGTCAACATGTTGGGCCAAAGGATAAAAGGCAAAATTACAACCTTTTAGCGAACAGTGCTTCCTTAAGGCCTCGGAAATTGTGCACAAAAGCAAAGAACAATGACAAAGATACAATAAGTTTTTGGTCATGGAACTTAACGGTTATTAAAACTGATCACAAGGCGGTCGAATAATAGCATAGTTCGATGGGGAAAGTACTGAATCTATCGGCATATGGTAGGTCACACTTCCTTATACTCGTAAAGAAGTTGCTTGTGGACATGGGAATAAAGCAGAAGTTTACGGCACAGAGCGAGCGAACCGCAGGGCAATCATGGTAGTACCGAACAAAAATCATGCTGGCTGTAAACTCTAATGTTTAGAGTGTCTAGTGTCTAGAGTCTCCTCGCCAGCGTTTTAAATACGATTAAGTGACTTTCGGTTCATGAAGGCTGGAAACGTCTAGAAAATGAAAGAGATGTTTTAAATAGTGCGAAGGAATCTAGATAAGTCTTCCCAGGACCAGGACAGGCGAAGAAGGCAATGAAGTCCAATGATCGGCGTAGTTCGCTGACTAACTGGAACCGAGGTTCGATGTGCCGTACCAGATTATCGATTTTGTATCACCAGTAACCTGTAATTTCTGCCCCAGGATGCATAACGATAACGGAGCGACGGAACTCATGGGATCAGACGTGTACTCCAAAATCAACAGGACTTAAGAAGAAGACGGAGCAGGTTTACTGTATCAGCGTCAGGGTTAGACCGGGTTCAAAGGAGAAAAACAGCGAGTAAGCAGAAATACTGTTCCTTGCACACGAGAGTCAAGGGGCCCCAAAAAACTTAAAGGAGAGGAACGTCAGCGAAAGGCACACTTAAAAAATCCTAGCATGCAATTAGCAAAAGTGAGCATTTTGGAGTCCATAGACAACGCTTGCAAGCAAGCAGAGCTACGGTGGTAATGCAATACCTTGTTTTCGACAGCATCTATCCCTTGTCGCGGTATTTGCCAGAAAAAGGATTTCTAGGTGCTCGGGTACAGTGCGTCCAATTACGATTATGTCGTCCTGGAACCCAAAGGGCATGGCATTGGAATCTGGTCCTCTGGTCCATCGCCCTTAAAACATGGCTGATGCCTAACCCGAACAGCATATCTTGCAATATGCAATAGCACAGCCCCTCTCTTGCTGTGAAGCCTTGAATTGCTTCGTCCGCTCGTTAGCGCTCTTCGCTAAGGAAGCTTTTTTTTGCACCACGCTCTGGTAGCATGAGTGGATTGGGTCTGTGTCCCATTTACCCTGGCTCTTCACACCTTCTGCACGTGATCTGCGTTGTAGTCAGGGATTTGTTTCGGCTAAGCTGTTGCTATTCTGCAAACACTTCCCGTTCCTTGAACTGCTTGTTGTACTCATCTTCCAGGATCATGAGAGCTTTCGTAAAGGTATCCTTGATGATCTTGTTATTTCGGCGTATTAGTGCTCTTGGGAGAGAGAGGCATCCAATGTTCAGGCACCAGATGGCTAGCGTAAGGGCGTCGTATTCGGATCGTGGGATCTTGTTACGCCTCTCAGCTCTGCAACATAACGAGAATAAATATTAGAAGTGCCTGTAAAAACAATTGATTCGTACCGTTCGTCTACCATCACTGCTCCACAAGCTAAGCTGCCGATTGAACGTAAAACAATCGGCCAATGTTTCGAACATATTCCCTCCCTTTCACACTTCCGCGTGGCAAATGGAACACCGAGGGCCGCGCCATACGATCTCCTTTTGTCAGGCTTCTATGTCAATGTTATGCCATAGTTTTTAACCTAAAAATGTTTACCTACTAATTTTATTGTAGTTGAATAAATAGAATTATTGATTAATATGTTGATGGCTAGTGTCATGTGTAATAAAAAATTTAAATACAAAAGCTAAATAAGTTGACAACAATTGGTTTAGCGGAGAGTATCAAAATTCACCAACGGGCACACGTCAACAAAAATTGTTGGCTTTTCACGACTAAAAAACTTCTATCTGAAGGCTTTTGTCTTTGCATTAAAAACAAGGCGAGTATCAACTGAAAAGTTATTGTTCGGAGCATATCGCCACCGCCTAGTCATGCGCGAGTTAACTCCCCGTAGAGAGTAGAGTATTGAAGGATAACATGGTGGTGTTTCACAAATTAAGACGACCGCTGTAGTTGAGGTTCAATTTCTGAATAATTTTTATATTTCTCTTCTCATACTTTACAACTTGGTTTGGTACATAGTGCTTATTCTAATATGCTGATCGACCGAAAAGTGGAAGTGGATCGGATGCGATTCTGTGTCTTCAAGAGGTTCTGGGTGGCCCCGATGATTGTATCGATTCAGCATTTCAAGTGCTAATCGATACAAAGACTCAGCGATTCAAGTGGTCGCCGATGCAGCGTTTCGCACGTTAGTTGATACTATGTCTCAGCGATTCAAGTGCACCGCAACATAGTGTTTCTTGGTGCCCCTTTAGACCTCTGGTTGTCAAGGCGGCTTTGGCGGGGAAACGAATAAGGCCACGACGAATACTATTATCAACAGTACACCGAGCATCGTGTAAGTCGTTGTCGTATGGATCGTGGTTCCCCACAGCATCTTGTTGATCTGTATATTCGTTTCTGGGTCCTCCATTTTTAGCTCGTGTATCCCCAACTCCTAGTTTGTTCTGTTCTTCCCAATCGCCTCTACCCGAGGTGTGTCCAACCTCAACTCTGCTGTGCCAAGCTTCACTACTGCACGTTGTTCACCATCGACTTGCAGTGGAACCTAATTAGCACTGATCCGTTCAGCGTTTTCTCCAGCCCGCAATTTGTCTGTAGCTTGACGTTTTCTCCATTGAATATCGCTATATAACCGGCCTCCGGTTCGAATGTCGCGATGGTTAATCCTGCATCCTTTGTCTCGCATTCCGCCTCTTTTCCACCTATCAGTCTTCTAATACATCTTTCATTAACCTGGTCTACAATCTTATCATTCTTACATACATATATGTTTCTTATAAACTGAAATTTTTCTTTATAATAATGTATTTCGTCTTCATGAATCGCCAAATAATTTGGTGCTGTCACAAATTCCGTGTTATTCATGGGAAGTAGAATAAGCCTACGCAAGAAAAGGTTTCCTTTTTAAATTATTATTGAAAATGAGAGTGTTAAAACTCTTGGACTTAAATGGGAACCACAAAAGAATTTATTTAAGTTTAAAGTAAGTTGCGGGTCATCCAAATTGACAAACAAAAGGATAGTACTATATAATAATACTAAGAACCTTGTTATCCCCAGTATCCTCTACTGTTAATAATGTTTCTGAATTAATAGATATCCATTTTCTTAAATTTTGTCCTACTTTTTCTAATTTATTTGAAATTAGTTGGAGAACATTTTTGGCGTCTTCTACAGAATCGGCTCCAGTCATTAGGTCGTCCATGTAAAAATCGTTCTTTATTATTTCACTTATATTTTTATTTTGACATTTATCTGCTATGTCCACCAGAACCCTAGTAGCTAAGTATGGTGCAGATGCCGTACCATAAGTGACTGTTGTTAGTTTATAATTTTTAATTTTTTCTTCTTGAGCATTTCTCCATAAAATATATTGATATTTCTGGCCTTTCTTTGAGACCCTTACCATAGAGGGGAGAACTGCAAAGTCGAAGTTTATATTTTTTCGAAGGCTCGATTGACCAAAATGCAAAGAGGCTGCAACATAAGCAAACGTCTACATTTGTTGAGTTGATATTTCAAACTCAATTTTATTTCTCTAAATCCTGCTTAGGTAGCTAATATGAAATTTACATGTTCTAATCTTATCTCTAACTAGACCAACGCAGTGGCCCCAAACACGGAAACGGATTGTAAGTGCGGGAATTTTCCACTGCACGCATTCCTTATCTACACGAAAATGCGGTACGTTGTTTAAGCGATGAACCCACGCAGGAGTTCGTGGTATTTTTATTACATCTCTAAAGCTCAAGAGTTGTTTATTTTTAAATATAGGCAGACCCATGTTTGACAATAAATGTGTTGCAGCGGTCCAATCGTTTTACGTACAATATAATATATATTTACATATAATATCATATGTATATCCGTGTTCATGTGTGAACAATTTCCTTTCTTTATCTGTTTATTTCATTTATTTTATTTATTTATTTTTGTTTTGTTTTATTTATCTTATTTCTTTTTGTTTATTTTATTTTTTTATTTCTTTTATTTATTTTTATTTATTGCATCCATCTTATTTATTTAATTTCCAACTACACTGCATGGTAAAGCCAGTTGCTTAGCTGTGCGATACAGCTTCACAACCAATTGCGGACAGTCATTGCTAAGGTATCGTCTACTTTACCCTAACACACTGCATGCTGAAGCTAGTTCCTTGGCTGTGCGATACAGCTTCGGAACCAAATTCGGACAGTCATTGCACCCCGGTGTTTTCCCCTAGCTTGCACTACCACTTCCCCCCCTGTGCACCGAACTTCTACTGCCACCAACCGACGGCATGACATCGTTCGACGACCGTTCGATCGGCGAGCCTCTTAGTCACATCGAACTTCCGACAACCGCTACGTTCGTTTTATCGAGCCGTTCTCTGTGCCTTCGAGTCACGACATCCGCCACCGATCGTTTGCTTGTTCAAACCAATTCCTCTGCACTTCTTTTAGACACAACTCGAATTAATTTAATTTTTATTTAACAACATTTCGGCCTTGCGCCTACTTTTCCCGCTATTATATAACAAGGTCAGCTCCTTGGCTTTCCATAGTTTATGAAATGCAATTATTAATAAAATTCAATTATTTAGCATTCCCCTTCATATTATTAATTTGGCAAATATCTCCCTTTTTCGAAATTTTGAATTTCGCGGCTATGTACAAAGCGCTACAGAGCTCGTATCTGACAATACTATACATAATTTGAAAGGTCTTGACATAACCTACAAAACGACGCTATGCATGATTAGTTTGGATTAGTTTGGATATTGCGTTCAACAGTTATAGACGTGTAAACATGGAGTTCACTAACGCCGAAATTCGCGCTATTTTAAAGTTTTCCTTCGTTAAAGGCAAATCCGCCAGAGAAACGTTCCGTGAGATTAATGGTGTTTTGGGGGATGGTACTCTATCACTTCGAACCGCGGAGGAATGGTTTCGACGATTCAGAGCCGGTGAAAACGACACCATGGATAAGCCAGCCGGCGGAAGACCGGTTAGACCGGCATGTGGCATCTCGTGACATCGCCCAGGAGATGGGAGTTAGTCACCAAACCATTTTAAACCATCTGCAGAAGGCTGGATACAAAAAAAAGCTTGATGTTTGGGTGCCGCATGATTTGACGCAAAAAAACCTTCTGGACCGAATCAACGCCTGCGATATGCTGCTGAAACGGAACGAACTCGACCCATTCTTGAAGCGGATGGTGACTGGCGACGAAAAATAGATCACATTCGACAATATCAAGCGAAAACGGTCGTGGTCGAAGGCCGGTGAATCGTCCCAAACAGTGGCCAAGCCGGGATTGACGGCCAGGAAGGTTTTGCTGTGTGTTTGGTGGGATTGGAAGGGAATCATCCACTATGAGCTGCTCCCATATGGCCAGACGCTTAATTCTACCATCTACTGCGAACAACTGGACCGCTTGAAGCAGGCGATCGACCAGAAGCGTCCAGAATTGGCCAACAGGAAGGGTGTAGTGTTCCACCAGGACAACGCCAGACCACACACTTCGTTGATGACTCGTCAGAAGCTACGGGAGCTCGGATGGGAGGTTTTATCGCATCCACCATATAGCCCGGACATAGCGCCAAGTGATTACCACCTGTTCCTGTCCATGGCGAATGCCCTTGGTGGTGTAAAGTTGAACTCAAAAGAGGCTTGTGATAAGAGGCTGTCCGAGTTCTTCGCAGATAAGGAGGGGGGCTTCTTCGAGGGAGGTATTATGAAGCTGCCGTCTAGATGGAAACAGATTATCGAACAAAACGGCGCATATTTGAACTAAATCCGATCACTGTAACACTTTTTATAAAGCATTGAATAAAGAGCAAAAAAGCGGAAGGGAGATATTTTTTAACCTATTGTTATAAATAAAACAAGAAACGAGAAAAACAACAATTTCAAAATTTTCTGGAATATCGATAGAAATTGTGGAATAAAATAAATAATAAAAAAAAAAATTCCTTTTTTTACAAAGTGTGGGCGGGAAAGCTTTAAGCGGTTTTATGGGCGTTAAAGTGGATGTGGCAAAAAGATTGTTTGCACATAGATGAAAATTTACAAGACTCATAAAAAAATTTCTATAAAATGTAGTTTTGTATATATCTTTCCTGAGTTTGTTTTTGGCTTTGATCAGCTTACTCCAGCTCAGCTCTAACTAACAAAAAGCATCACCTTTTTCGCAGGAAATTAACTATGATTCACCAAGAGGAGGAGTTTCAGTTATAACTGAAAAAGGAGATATAACAACATCGTATCTATTGATTCAACGAGCAAGCATTGTTGACTCGGGGCAATATTCTTGCCTACCGTCAAACGCAAACCCCAAGTCTGTAACCGTTCATATTTTAAAGGGTAAATACATTTAAATGAGTTTCATATTTTTTCATAATTTTCATTGCATTATAACCAGGTGATCACCCAGCAGCCGTTCAAAAATCCCATTTATTGGTATCGGAAACATTTAATGTGTGTTTTCTTCAGATTTTATTGAACTTATCAGTTTTATAATATTTCCATATTTTCTATAAAAAAACAAAATTTTGAATTAAAGAATATTTCTGAATAAATATTACGAAATTCCAATTAAAAATTTATATTTTAATATAATAGAATTGTGGTATGTAAATTAAGAGCTATTTATAAATATAGAAATTAATATTTTTTGAAGCTTCCTAAACAAGAGAGAACGATTACAGGTAACATTTGAAATATATTACAATACAAATTTTCAACATTGTGGTTTGTGGGAGCACTCAGCGTTGGCCTTACCAGAATCTGCATGCCTTATCTCAATTTGTAGCTTTTTATGTTCAGATTATCTTGACGTCGATACATACTTTTAGCCATATCGACTTAGCTAGCGGTTCTGGTAAAGAAAATCTGAAGCGCTTTCGCTTACCTGCTACATATTATAAAGCGAATTTAGTATAGCTTTATACTCTACTAGTAACGGGTACTATAACAGTGTGCTTTATTTTTGATTTATGTCAAATCATTTTTTAATAACACCGCACAATAAATCAAATAATCATTTCTTTTGTTCAGATGTATTCAATTTATAATCCAATGTTTTAAATAAAATTTATAATGTGAACTAAAAATTAAAAAATCCGAAAGAACGTTGTAACTTATAACGGACATACAACGAGCAGCTAGTAGTATTGAGAGAGCAGAGGATTGCACGAGTTAACACCGTTTACTCGAGGAGGGAGCTGGAGGGTGTGTTAAGTCCTTTAGATGATGAGTTGTCGTTGGTAAGATTGGGTATATGTGGAAGATGATTAACACACGACTGGAGTTCTTGAAGCTTAAAACCAGAGTGAAGTTTATTGTCAGAAAATCTCCCCTGAAGCTCTCTGTTTCAATCTTATATATTATATATATATTATAAGTACATAAATTCTTATTGTAAACATAACTTTCATGAAGCCTCAGCATTTGGCTAGCCGGGTCCCTTGCCCGACATTGTTGCTGTGCAACTTTGTATGCTATGTCAGCATACGGCCGGATGCGGTGATTTGCTCCAGTTGCCGTCTTCCCGGTTCGGGGTCCGACGATTTGTTAGAGGCGTGGGGGCTTAGGGTGTGGGGTGGTAACTCACGCGCTTTTTCCGGCTCAAAATTAGTTCGTTAAATGTAGGGTGTGTGAGCAGGAAGCAAGCTGATCTCGCAAAGGCTCGAGCCCTCCTCATTATTTCAGCAATTATATACATTCTGATGTATACATACATTATATACATGCTGAAGTAGGAAAGGTGAAAGAGAGATGGGGGGGCTGACCCCCAATAATTAATTACTTCCTAGGAATTTAAGTTGATTTGGAAATATACAAAAATAATTAGATAATATTAAACTTTCATTTTTCAGTATTAAAAGTGTTCAAAATAATAGAAAAATTAATATTAACTCAAATGAAAACAATTAATTAATAAATAAAAATAAAAATTTTTTCAGTGTATGCCATCATAACAAAAGTTTTGTCCTAAAGAGAGGAAACGTTGGGAAAAATGTATTTTGAAATATTAACTTTATTTTTTAACTCTAATTCTGATTACTCATAATGTCCAAAATATTACTAATTAGATTATTGAAATATAGAAATTAATTTATTTTTATTCTTGATTAACTTTAATCACTTCCAAAAATTTCTTCGATCAGTGTAGCGAAAGCTATGTAAAAGACAAAGGTAAGAAGCACTGGCTCAAGGCTAAGCTTTTTGGTGCTCCTTAAAGCTCAATGTGCTGAATCGCTCGCTTTCAAAAGAGAGAATAAATGCAGTTACGTTATTGCAATTAATTTAGAAAAGAATAAAGTCTTATCGGGCCACGAAAGTCGGGAGCAAAACAAAAACCATAAATCGCATGTATGGAGTTTCACTAACATTTTTGGCTTCTGCTCCAACGTCAAAAGATCATTATGTTTTGCTACCAATAATGTTGTTTTATTTTCGGCCAATATTCAATGCACTCATTTTATTTAATTATTTTAATTTATATTCACTTATTATATTATATGTTTCACTTAACTTTTAATTTTTCCCGCAGGTTTTTTTATATTTCATTTTGCCAATCATCACTTTGCCAATATATATTCAGCAAAATGTTCAAAAACAAATTATTTCGTAAATGAAAAGAAGAAGAATAAGATAACTAATATCGTTTTTTAACACTAACGTAACTAATGAATAATGCAGCGATCCTCTGCT